CTTCCAGCTGAAGTAGTAAAGGTTAACACAGTGGAGTAGTTTAAGCATGCCTGAGATAGGCATAAGGCTATCCTAGCTATAAGATAAGGCCAGGGACTAATGAATTTATTTAGACTAGATGGGCCGAATGGTTCTTATCTGCCGTTCCATTCTATGTTTCTATGATTCACATACCCCTTCTAGAAATTTCAGGAACAGAATAGAGCATCCCAGTCCTCCACTTGGGGATGATGTTCTTGAAATAGGGCATAATGTTGACCCCTCCGTCAGATGAGCAACGGAAAGGCACAATTGGCTAGAGACTATTGCACTGGTAAGATCTGGTGTCTGCTCAGGAAATCTGCCTTGATGTTTATTAAACCTGGAAGGTAAATCACTCCCCAAACTCCTTACAGTTCCTTGCTGTGTCTCCCTCTCTCTTCTCGGAGGCACCATGCTGATGCTTGCCTCCTTGTTCTCCAAGGAAAGCCTGATTGTCACCGGGGGCTTGCAGCAGGTCTTTTTCTCCAAAGATTTGCACACCCATTAACGGCCCTTAAACTGGAGGGGATCTCCTTCGCCTTGGCGTGGCGAATGGATGGAGAATCAGGGAGGACCAGCCTCCTGATTTACACACACGCCAGCGTGGCGTCATCTTAATGGAGAGGGGGAAGAATGAGATAGGGTGTGTTTCTGTGTGTGAGGCGGAGGTGATGCGGGTGGCGTGTGCTTCTTCTTCCTTATTTAACAGCACTTCTCCTATGTTTCATTGTTCAGCAATATGCTCCTGATAGTGTTCATACTTTCAGTTGCTACTTGTTTGATCTCTGATAGTTGACCTTTGCCTGCCTTACCATGTAAAACCCTGTGCTGTCTGACCTGACCTTTGTCTTTCCTGAGCCTTTTGACCATTCTCTGTACTGCGATCTGATATTTTGCAACCCTGCACCCTGCTGCATTATGGGCTTCATCTACTAACCTGTGCACCTTACAATTACAGATAACCCAAGATGATGTTTCTGTGTCCATGCCATGAGGGGAGCTATGATACTCATCATCTTTGGACTGCAAGTACCTCCTTAGTAATTCAGATATGCCACCACTGCCCTGTTGTCCACTTGGAGTTTCCCCCAATGATACTGAATCTTGACGCAGTTGGCAGAGACCCTCCTGTCCCCTTATGTAGCATCTCCTACTAACTTCCTTTACAAATGTTAATTCACTCTTAGGATCTATAGAGTGCTCTGAAGGTCTCCTGCCGGTAAGGGAGTCTTCATAGAGGTCAGCTAACATCCTTCCACTGGTAGTATAGACAAAAAAATAATTTTGAGAGTGGTTTGTGCAATGATGACATCTCAATAAAGTGTCTGTTCAGTTTTTCGTCTAGCACTTGTTTAGAAAATAGAGGCACGCACAATTGTAATTGTTAATGATTTGCAATGAATTAAAAATAAATAATCCCCTTTATATGTTACTGCTATATACATTTGAGTGGATGCAATGCACTTGCTAGTAAGTAGTGTCTTAAACTAAATACTACACAAAAAGAACAAAAACTGACTGAAGGTGTCACTGAACACATTTCTTTCAGTGTCATTCATTAGTTTATATTGAGGTAAAAAAAGGGTGGTTTTATACATCCCCCACACCAAACAGCCTCTGGTGGGGCTAATAAGGGGGGGAGAGGGGGAGCATAGTGTCCCCGTGGTGGAGATCCATTTAATAATGTGTTGGGGCAAATAGTGCCCTCCCTGACCCCCCAACCACCATCAGTGTAAAAGGAGGGGACCTGATGCCACCCTACCCCCACCCCTCTACTCATGGGAGGTGGATGGGGAATTTAAATTTTTAAAATGGGCAGTAGGTGGAGGCTTTAATACTGTTAATACAAACAACCTAGTGTCTCCCAGTCTCCACCCAAGGGCAGCAAGTGGGGGTTTTGATAATAATGGGGGAAAGTGTCCCTCCAAGCCCCCAATCTGTGTGCTACAGGTGAGACATGAGACTTCAAGTGTCTCGAAGGGAGCTCCACACAGAGCTCGGAGTACGAAAGCCAAATCCCAGGATGGAAAAAAAAATTCTGAAAAGGATGTCTGATGGCCTTAATAAAAATCTCCCAATAAAGATATTGATGGGGGGCAGGGCGTGACCATAGACCTAAGTAGACGCATGTTGTCTTCAACCCGTGTCAGTCACTGTTCTATGGTTGGGGGTGGTACCAGAGGGCAGGAAACAAAGATTTGACTTTTTGTTTTTGAAAAGTGGTAGAACCGTTGAGAGCAATAGCACGTTCTCAATGTCCAATTGAGAGATTTCACCCATAATCTTGGTCACTACCCTTTTGACTTCAGTCCAGCAAATTATTATTCTAGGGAAGTCCCACCAGATTTGTCGTATGAAGCCAACTGTGGAGCCACATCTCCAGCAATCTTCCGAGGTCGCTGGGAATATCCAGTGTAGGAGAGCTAAAGTTCATTACCAGTGGGAGATCATCTTGCAATTGACTTCATGGTATTTGGTGCTTACTGAGCTTTTATATTGTAATATGAGGATCTTTTCCCGTTGGGTATCAGAAAAGGTCGCAGTCATCAATTCCTTCCACTGTCTCTTAAAAGAGCTCTTGCTGTTTTCTGCAAGCAGTTAGCGATACCCTGCAATCCGATAGTGCTCAGAGGAATTAATTCCTTGTGTTCTATAAAGGACCAAGCACTCTGAGGAAGCCTACCACCCCAATCCTTATATGTTAATTTGTTTTAGGGACAAATATTTTCCACCCCAGATGGTGCCCCAAGTCTTCAGTGTTTGTGAAAAAGTGGAGTCACTGCCTAGAGTGGACACAGCATCCGACCTTTGCCACACCAGTGTATGTAGGGCTATATCCATGCTAGCTCTTTCTATTGCTACCGAAAGTTTGTGCGCTGAGACTGCGTGCCATTCCCTAAATCCTTTGTAGGACTGTTGCCTGTTGATATTTACTGAAGTCTGACAATGCCAGGTCTCCCCAAGCTCTCGGTAGGCATTGCCTTTCATGACAAAGTCTCGCCTCTCCAAACACACCTGAGTACCGCTGTCCATAGAGCGGAGAAAAAATCCCTTGGTAGGCCCAGTAGGATGGTTTGCAACAAATAGAGAAATCTAAGGACATCTATTTTATTACTGCTATATGCCCTTGCCAGGTGATGTGTTGGTAAAGTGCAATTTAGGGGGTACAGAAAGGAAAAAAAAAGGGGGGGTAAAACAGTGTATCTTCACAGAAATGGAACACACATGATCCGTTAACATTATGTTATGCTGTAGTTTTATACACATGGGAGGAGTTCCATTTTTAAGGTCCTCTTGTAATTTTTTTCAGAAGTGGAAGTAAGCTTCATCAGGCTAATTCTGTGGGGTTACGCGGCACCCAAACTCCAAGGTATTGCATTTGGTCGTCACACCAGTGAAAGTTAGTTTTAAGAGAGGATCAGTCCTCATCTGAAACACTGACATTCAAGATTGTGCATTTAGGAAGACTTAATTTAAGGTCCAGAGAAGTTTCTGAGAATGCAAGTGGGCAGCAAAAAAAAAAAAAAATTCCTCTCAGGGTCTCGTGAGTGCCCGGCCACTTAGTACGACCCGTTTGTCTCTTTGGCAGCGTAAACAGTGCACTTATAAGAGCTGTGTGGAGCAAAGCCTTTGTCAATTTGAATATTCGCAAAGTCTCGTATTTGAAAGAGGGAGTTCACAAAATGCTTGGGTCAGAGGATTCCATTCCTAGAACCAACTGCGATTTGGCCAGTATGGAGTTATTGCCAACACAGTTGCCTTGACCACTCTGATCTTTTGAAGGATAAGTGAGCTAAGAGCTACTGGAGGGAAAATATATACCATCCTGAAGTTTCATTTCACAGAGAGACCATCTAGATACTGAAGTTAGTCTGTTCGGTATAGGGAAGCAAACACTGCTACCTTCCCCTATTCCTTCATTGCCATCAGATCTTAACTGGAATTCCAAGCACTTTACCAGGATGGTAAACACTTTTGGATATAATTATAATTCTGCTTGGGACCACTGTGTTCTGCTTAAGTCATCTGCAATCACGTTGTCCATATTTGTTATGTACATTGCAGAGATTAAGATTTGACATTCGTTTCACCATGCTTGTTTATATAGGGATGTTGTCTGATTTGATTCTTACTGCTTCATGTGTGATCCATGGCTCGAATACCAGAAGAGGCTTGATAAATCTTAATTTATCCAAAATTGGAGCAACTGATTTGCTTCTTCTTTGGACCAAACCTCTTGACATAGAAGGGTTTTCCGATTAGCACACCATCAGAGTTTTGAGACATCTGTAACTGTAATCCATCCTTCTGCTGGAAATATAAGTCCATGAACAGAAACTTCAATCTCCACCAATTAAGTGGATTTTGAACTTTGAGATGCTGAACTCTGATTCCAGACCCTCTTATTCTGCTGACCAATTTTGCAGGATCTTCCATTGGAGAGGTCTCAGCCAAGCTCTTGCCCACTGTACTACTGAATGCCTAGTAGACTCGTTGATTTACCGACAGAAGAAAGCGTCTTTCTTTGAAGAATGGAAACTTGTTTTTTTCCGACCTTCTTTATAATTTGACAGGGAAGGAGCAGAAAATTTGATTTGGAATCTACTAAGAATTCCAGAAACTGGATATTTGTTGTAGATTGTCCCCCATTGATCAACCAACCATTACTCATCAATAACTGAATAGTCATACTGATATTTTTTGTGTCAATCATGTTTATTGAAATTTTTCACATTTTCCATAGACATACAGAACATAAAACAGTAATAAGGCAAGATACATGGTATGAACATACGCAGTTGGTCAGGTTAGATCGCGGTCTGTGAATTAGGCATTTATCATGGTAATTACCTTGCAGCCTTGGTACCTCTACGTGGGTGAGCGTGCCGCTTAGGGCGGGTGGCCCTGTGGACCCAACCGCTAATCCCCTTGGGAAACACCAGATAGCCAAGGCCAGCCTTTGTTTTAATTTGGCTATTCCTATATCTGCTCCTGGTGTACATATGCCCGCTTAGAGTAAGGTTCTACAGTCCCTTATAGCCGAGCAGTTCTTGAGAGAGCATTATGCTTCGAAACCAACTCGGTATACCGTATTTTGACCCTTCTCGCTAATTTTGGGTGGGGTTGATTGTCGTGCCCCTAACCGGTCTAGGACTGTCTCTTAGCTGCCTGCTGTCTGTCGGCGTGTGTGGTGGGGAGGCTAGAAGCAATGTAGGTGTACTGTGTTCCCTGGTCCGTGTTGGGCTCGGGGCCCAGCCTTAGGTGTCTTCGTACCCTTGGACGTGGGTGTGTCTGTTTGCGGTTATCTTGAGGAAGGTCTGCCTAGGTGAAGTGGTTTGGCCATGTTCGGTTTGGTCCGTCCGTCGGCCTTTTCGTTCACAAGCGTCTGATTTGAGCGTCTGTCTATTGTGAGTCGAGTGGGTGCAGTTCCAACCTAATTCTCTGTACGAGGTAAGGCTGAGGGTAGAGGGTAATGGAGAATTGGAAAGAGAGAGCAGGGAAAAGAGGAAGGGGGAGGACTAGAGGGGATAAGCACCAGAGGACCGGGTGGGATCGCTCCCCTCGGCGCATTGCTGTCCTCTTTTTAGTGTGGGGTCTATATCTATATGTCAGTTTGTTCGGGTTCTACCCCCTTGGGCCTGGTATACTGATATTTTTTGCTTTGAGGAACAAATCGTCCAAATACGGAACGGAAATGTATTTTTCTCTTAAATATACTGCCAAGGAAGGATAATCTTTGCGGAAACTCAGAGGGTAGGCCAAATGTTAAAGTCTTGAACTGGAACTGCTGGATATCCTTACAATTTGATGGCAAATCTTAAACTTTCTTGAAGAGCTTTCATTAGGAACATGTAAATAGGCATCTTTTAAATCCAGAGTACCCATATAGTCTCCTTTTGGAACATATGAGTGACTGATAGGATGGCTTACATTCAGAACCTTTGGTATGGATTACATACGTTCACCCTTTTTAAATCTAGCACAGGAAACTTGGAGCGGGTCCTTCTATAAATTTGATTCTGTATGAGTTTCTGACATCCATGCTAGAGACCTCAGAAATTGATTATCAAAGGATAATCCAACTGAGAAAAGTACCTGCTTCTGTCCTCGACAGTTACAGATTCTTTGGATTTACATGCCGATTCTTTAAAGGATTCAAATGTTTGAGCTGGTTTCAAGAAAAACAGTTGCAAGTATGACTGTATATCTTTCTGTTTGGAATTCTCAAGTACTTCTGAAGAACATTGATCACAAGTTTGTTTTTTAAATCCATCTGGTAATGGAGTAGTGCATTTGTTACACACTAAATGTTTGAATTTACATTACACAATTTTTATTTTCCAGTTTGTACAGAGCGGTAGGACTAGACATCTAGAAAAAAAAAAAAGACTACGCATAATGTAAAATATAAAAAGTAACAGACAGCAAAAGACTTTTATGAAAATACATAAAATCCCACCTTAAAGATCCCAGAATTTTGTGTGTGTGTGGGTAATGATATCTCCTTATAAAATAGTCTACTGACCACAGTATAGGGTATTGTCCACAATTAAACAGTTATTTACTTTCAAGCATAGGGGAAACTAGGGATGTGCATGGGCAAAAAATTCAGTTCGGACGTCCAAAAGTCAGGACTTTGGCTCGGTTCTTCTGAAATTCGGTACCCCTACCCCTCCTCTAACCCTATCCCTAAACATAACCCTAGTAGGGGTAGGTTTAGGGTCAGATTCCGGTCATCATTCCCTTAATTTTCCCTCCCTCTCCTGTTTTGCCACTTTTCAGAAATCCAAAGCACTTCGGCACTTCCGAAATTCAGCAATATCTGAATGTCCGAATGTCCACAATTTGTCCGAATTTAAATTCAGACCGAAAACAAATTGCACATGTCTAGAGGAAACCGCCACAGGTCACACAGTAATAAGACAATATTTAAAAATATATATTTTTGACATTTTATAATTATGAAAGTTTGATTTGTTTACTCGAAATATTTACATGTATTAACCAATTTGTTCAATATATTTCTATAGTCTATATAGGGCTATTTGACTATATTTTATATTGTTGAGCAGGTTGAGCATTGAAAGTAATTTCATTTTTTGTGCCTCTACTCCTTGATTTTAATATTTTAAAATTCACCTTTTTTATACATGAGAGAGTGTGATCATTTGGCAAATTATGGCAATCAGCAGAGCAAAAGCGAAGTTACATTTTAGTTTCTAAGCTAACTTGCCCACAATCCATCAGTCAAAATAAAAACAAAGAAGGGCAAGGAAGAAAAGATAACACACATAAATAAAGGCAAGTGTCATAAGGAGGTATAAACATTGAGATACAAGGAAAACTGAAAGAAAACATATGACAGAGTTGCTTTAAAGTAAAACCCCAGCTCACTGTAGTTATGGTGCCAGAAGTGCCCTGGTGCCCCTTCCCCCTCCTTGTAAGAAGTCAGACCAAATTTGAATGGTTTGACTTGTTAGTTGGGTTCTGCCATGTGCCACTATCATTTCCTGAGAGACATGAGTTCCACAGCAGGAACTTTCTTTAGCTTTTTTGAGCTAAACCCTGCAACGCAGGGCTGAGAGCATCAGTTGATTTCTTGTGTACCCGGAATACTGAACTGATCTTGTTAAAAATGCATCAGAAGAGATGTGTAACCAGAGGCCAGATCCCCAATGGTTTTAGAAAGAGTTATGCCGAAAGACAAATTATACAAAATCAACTTTATTTAAATTTATTTTAATTAAACAAATGTACTATAAGTAGCACTGTAGTGTTCACCAGTGACAAAAAGGCACATGGGTTGCAAAAAATAAAAAATAACCAAGAAAGTACAGTATAAATATAAATACTACAATTTTGCATAAAAAAATGTTTAATGGAAAAAAAATAATTTAGGCATATAACTGCTGTTATAAAATGGGTTGCATCTGACATCTTCAATCTTTTCAATGAAACATTTGCAATCATCACATTCGCATGACTCATAACCAGAAAAGAACTAAAGTAGGTGGTCACTGTCTCAGCACACTACAAGTGAGGTAATTTGATGCACATCTTGTGAAATTACATATTTTAGTGTGACAGATCCCAGTTTATAAACACATTGCCTAATTTGCAGTTCAAAAGGTAACAGTTAAACAATGTAATCCCACATTCTATATTGATTTGTTGTTGTTTGCCACTATATACAGAATTACTATGGTTGGGTACACAGCACCTTCTAGCAAACCAACGTAATAGACAGTACTCTGCCTCGGCGTACCAAAGAACATCAAGCAGGGGATAGATTTATTACAGCATTGTCATCTTGGTTTCATGGTCTGGTCCATCTCATCAGCTGTACTTATTATTGTGTATATTTTTAATAAACTGGAAACATTTTGGAATTGACTAGAGAAAAATACATTTAAAGCAAAATAATCAAAGTGGAAAAACTAAACATTTGAGGTTAAAATAGCTGAAAGATATCAAACTACATTTCAGGGACTATTGCTGCCAATTTCAAGTTTTCAATAAACACAGTTTGCTTTCCAGTAGCCTTAATAGTGATTTGTATTTGGGTATCAACTCCTTTCAAGGGTCTATAATTATATAGAAACAAATGTGTACTTTGCCACTGGTAATAATGATACTTGTGTTCTACAGATTACTTATACAAAGAAAACATTTCTGCCGTCTTCATGAGGCAATTATATAGATCTTGAAATGCTACTTCTATCACGCATTCTAAAGTTTCCAGATTTTATTGGTACCTTGGGAACAGTCAAAAAGTAGCTAGGGGGAATGAATTCATGATTGTATACACTAAAAACAGATATGCATGTCCTTCCCTTTTTCCAGGATGCTCCATGCAATGCATTTTCAGATTAACCCAAGGCCCACCAAGACTTTGGTATTGTTTGAAATCTTTGAGTAAAAATAAATTGCCATTCTCTGCCAGATTACACTTTATGCTATGCTATTATGCACAGAACTAATGGTTCCCATGTACGTGAATTAGCACTTCATTGAAAATGTTAAAAGTATAATTGTAATAGGTTTTTTGGTTTGTTTGTTTTTTTACAGGCGTATTAAAGCAAGTTACAGGAAAAGCTGGCTTAATTCTCAACACTGGTTCAAACACAGTGGTATTAGGCTTGAAACTGTGTATACCACTTATAATACCAAATGATACTGCATGTTAGTACTGATTAATTGGAACTTTATACAATTAAAAAGCAAAAAAAAAAACTAGGGACGAAAATATCTGCATTAATATATTGCAATAAGCAAGCAATGAAATTGATCTATATTTATATAAATGCAAGAAAATGATATCAGTAGTATAAAAATTGACAATACAAGATTAAATTATAGGACAGAATGCATATGTAGGTTATAAAACCCATTCTGTAAACTTTCAAGATATGGTACAAATATTTTCATCATATATAAAATAGCTTGATTCCTTGTGAAAAAAAAAGAAGACTAAGGGACTTCTAAAAGATAGGATTAAGTAATACTTCACAAGTACAAGTGAGTGTATATTGTATATATACACATCTATATGCTTACATGATACTAGCACTTCCTAAAAAAAACAAGCTAGTATCAGATATATATTTATTTCTATAGAATTAATTTCTAAAGACTCATTTCAGATATTTAAGGCATTAGGGAAGAGAAGAATCTAAATTTTTGTTCTGCAATCAAGATTTATTGAAGAGACAATTTGATTTTTTTTTTAAATTATATTGAAATGGGGAGGGGTGGGGGGAGTGCAAAAACAATGGCGTAACAGCGCTTATATATAATAAGGTGCATTTGGAATTAATGGCATGCACCACGATAATTTTTTTTTTTTTTTTTTATGTATTTCCTACCATTTCTGACAGCTTGTGTTCCTTTTCAAAGTCTGAAATGTATCAGTTTCATATCTTGATATGCAATATCAAAGTCTGAATTCGTCACATTCTAGACCTTTCTATCATTAGGAAAGTAGAGATGTTTAGAATTTAGGTTAAGCTTGCTTTAAATTAAATTTAATTTAGTTTCAAATATGCAGCATCCTTGATAACAGAGGCAGCCATATCTAATTCTTCATTAGTCTGCTCCACGGTTACTACCACACGTATGCTGTAACACAAAAACAAAACCATGAAATGTTAGAAAACACAGAAGACAGAAAAATTAACATTATTGTATCTTGTGACAAGAAAAGCAGGAAGCTGTGATCAAGATGTTTGAGAAATCCTATTAGTTTCTAGCAAGAAAATACCACTCCTGACACTTGCATAAGATAAACATTACAATATTTTTTTTTCCTTTACAACTTTCTTTACTTTTATACCATAAACTCCCATTTTCATGCTAGAAGCTAATGTAATGGTTTTGATTTAGGACCTTGTATTCTGACAAATATAAGCATTGCCACTTCTGAGAATCAGACAGTCAGAGGTACTCCCGATAATTGAAAGTTTTCATGCCCAGCAAGATACAATTCTACGATGATAAGTGTGGTCATAAAAGATGCAAAGAAACTTTGAAATAATACTAGTCTACAAGAAGGATTTTTTGTGTGGCAGTTTTGCATTATCATAACCTATTAGCTTCCAGCATGCTTGATTCCCAAAGGCAGTGTGTTGTGGGAAGGAGTCCATGAACTTAATCTTTAAAAGCAACACTATATTTATTCAGAAAGTTAGAGTATTACTTTAATGGAAGACTCTTTAACCCCTTAAGAACACAACTTCAGAAATAAAAGTGAATCATGACGAGATATTGCTGTCATGTGTCCTTAAGGGGTTAAATTAAAGTTTTCACTCATCAATAACCCACCACCAAACAGTCATCTGTCAGGGTGATCTCTGGCCTGATCTACTGCACATGTGGGTCGATCATTGCATTTAATCAATTTGATGATTTTGCCATGTGTGTTGGCACTCAACATGCAGTCATTCAGTAAAGGAAATCACCTCTAATTGCCGTCAGACACCCACTAGAAGTGTGTTTGTGGCCACATTGATGTTTTCCTCAAACATTTTACCCTGCTAGACAGGGTAAAACAGGGAGGCTGGATATAGTTAAGCCTAGGCAGCAGAACATAATGACATCACTATATAATATATATATATATATATATATATATATATATATATATATATATATATATATATATAAATAAATTGGAGGTATGAGTGTATGAAGAAGAGTGAGAGTGTATGAAGATGGGCTAAATTTACCTACAAAGACATACGAGTGTATGAGCATGTATATGGTAAAATTGTGTGTACACATGTGCGTTAGGAAGTTTGTGTACGTGTGATTACATAAATGTGGGTGTGCATAAATACAAATCTAAGGGAGTGTGCGTATACGTAAGGGAAGACAAGCCTAGATATGTCTGAAATGCATACAGTGCATGTAACTCCATTATGTAAGTGTGTGCCTCGGGTGGCTAGGTTGGCCTTCTGCTCCTGGTTACTCACAAGAGTGGATACATTTATGGGGAGAATAAAAGGACTGGAGAAATGGCAAATTTAATATGAGTTTGCATTTATAGATATTCCCAGCCTCTCCCTAGGTTAACATTGTTGGAACCCCTCTTTCCCCCAAAGAGTATATGAAAAAAAGTAAAAAACAACATTAAAAAGGGGCCAGATTTTAAGCCTTTTTGTCTCCTGATCTTTACATTTGCTGGCGATAAGTTACGATAATGTAAACATTATTTATGCTTTAAAATCACACAATAAACCCTGCGTAATAGTTTTCCCAATGTAAATACATGATTAAAAATAAAATAATGGAAAAACAGGGGGAAACAAAACCTCTACAAAACAGTAAGACTAACCTTAAACAAGAAACCCTGCATACAGTAAATACATATGCACTAAATTAAAATCCCAATCCCAAAAAAAGAGCCTGATCCCTCTGGGGCTGTTAAAGTAAGAGTGGTGCATAATCCACTAATTTCTTATGTGTTTAATACTGTAAGTCTTTTCATATAGAGAATGTATTATGTACAGATAGTCTGCACTATGTTTTTATGGTTTGTCTTTTTAAGGTGACACCCAGAATATACAATAGTGAAAAAGATATTAG